TTCCCTCCCTTCCTTCCTTATCTCAAAAGACAAAAATTATAAGTCATTGTTCTTTACTGCAGTATTTTAATATATTAGAACATATTTAGGTGATTAAATAAAATATTTATAAAACATCTATGCTAAAAGCCATGCTTAACATTTGAAAGACTTTATATTACTATCGGAAGTTCTAAAACAATGAAAATAGTTTTCAGTTTGTGTGGAAATAGAGCACCTATTCTACAAAGGTTCTTATTATGCACTTTTGTAAATAGCCACACAATAGAGGCTATTCAAATGAAGGAAATCAAGAAACTGTGCTTGATGAAAAATGGGGTTAAAAAAAACAATCGTTAACTTGGATTTCATAAAAAAGTCATTAGTTTTCCCCAGCCAGTGTGGCCTACGGGTTGAGCGTCAACCCATGAACCAAGAGGTCACCGGTCAATTCCCAGTCAGGGCACATGCCCAGGTTTCAGGCTTGATCCCCAGTCGGGGGCATGCAGGAGGCAGTCAATCAATGACTCTCTCATCATTGATGTTTCTATCTCTCTCTCTCCCTCTTCTTTCCTCTCTCTGAAATAGGTAAAATCATTTTTTAAAATGTTTTTATTTAAAGTCATTAGTTAAATTTTTCCAGTTCTGTGGAGTTTAATTTTAGTCATGTTAACATCCAAGAAGAATGTAATATATGTAAAGACAAATTTCAGTGAGCTGTAATTCCGTGTTCCAATTCCCCACAATTAAGGTTGGGACGAGGAGGGGATCTGACTAATCCTTTCTCTTCTACATTAATTGCAGTATTATCATAATTAAAATGTATAATTGACTTACATTATGCAGACACTGCTCAAGGAACACTGGAATACCTTCTGCATCAATATAATTTAACACAAAAAGTGTTTAAATGTATCTATTGTTAACCAAATAATTATTTTACTGATGAAGTAATAGTCTTAGAGATGCCATCATTACTAGTATTTCATGTGATGACTGGTTGCTTCAAGGCCTTTTTCCACAATCAAACATTTTCAGGAT